GTTCATGAAATAAAATCATAATTACTAATCAGTCTAATGTAATAAAACTGAAAGGACTATAATCTAATAGTCTTAAACACTCAGCAATAATGAAAAAATAACAATAAAGGAATTTCCAAGCAAGAATTAGTCAAATCAAATGACATTCCACATTAGATTTTTGACATCAATATAATTTACTAATGACATTAATGTGTTGAAATAAACTTCTTCAAAGCATGTTTCTAAATCTGTGGGCCATCTATTAACATACTTCCAGCAGATCAATACATTTTTTTTTGAGATGGCTCTGCCATCTTTACTGGATGTAGAACTTGCCAGGAAATATATCAAAATACAGTGTGTGTGTGTATATTTTTTAAAATTTTCATTTTTGGACATTCAACATCACAATTTGAAAATTTCTCAGTGATCTGGTAGTATGCAAGAAGCAACTCTCATAGTGGCATAACTGCACCAGTTGCTGTTGTCCAGTCTGTTTGGACTGGTCACCATAATACTGGCCATGTACCGGTCATGACACTGACTCAATAAATCAATAGCATCAACCCAGGGCACCTGCCCGAGTCAACATAACACAGCTTTGTTGTCAACAAGACGTTTCTCCTCGTATCACAGGTCACCACTCAAACTAAGGCATACGAACTAGATCAATTGAAATCAATTTTTTTTTTTCTGAAGAGGAAGAGCAGTGAACATGAACTGTGTCACCTGTTGTATAAGAGGTGAGCACACAATTGCCATCTCTTCTTCCTCTCTGGCCATAGCAATTTCTGTGCATTAAAAAAAAAAAAAAAAAAAAAAATCCCACTTAAAATATTTGGCATAAATGTCACAAGGACAGCAATCTATTACATAGATAATCTCTGCGCTAAAAATAAAATTCTTGAAATATTTGCTGCTAGTATTACGAAAGCGGAAAATATGACAGTTTATCTCTGGCGAAAAACCACAAGGCTGTGTGTCCTTTTAATGTGCAATTTTTAACACGAGGGAGGAAACCACCAGAGTGCAGAGGTCAATATCCAGACTATTTCAACTCCTAAGGAGCATTCAGAGCAAGTTGATCGGCGAACTAACAGATCTTCTGATCACATCTGGATCCACCCACTTGTAATGGTGCCGAGATTTAATTGCTCTGCCCCCCCGCTGAGACGGTGCATGTGGGAGGCAGGAATCCACTGTCAAGTGCGCACCATACTCGACATGTGGACTAGTTAGCCTGCGGATCAACTTTGTTGCACCAATACTCCCCAAGACTACTTTGGTGTACCAGTGGACTGTCGAACATGATGATTTTACATATGACCTCAGAGCACTGAGGACGAGGACAGCACAGTGTTCCAAGTTAAGGCCAGTTTTACAAAACTTTACCACAAATGTTGGTTTGAATTTAAACTACTTCAGAAAATCCACTTATGTGATATTTAATATTGGTTTGTAAACTCGGCATATATTTCCTTCAAAAGGGGCAGTATTTCCTTTTAATACAACCATACTACCCACACATCTTAGGTCTTAGTATTTAAGCTTAAGTCTACTAAGTATAGACCATACTTCAGACTAAAATTCTTTGGCTAAACAGGTTCCAGGGATATAAATAAAGGGTCAGCCGAGGATGAGGGGAGATTATCGAGTGTTCACCTGTGCCATGATGGCGAGGACACAGCAGGTCACACTACCAGGAATCAATCTGCCATTACTTGGAGTATCTCGGAAATGACAGATGGTCAAATAACACTGGCTGCGAGATATAGGGACACAAAACCTGGCCCATATTTTCATACACCCCGAGGATCAGGTTTTTGGCAGAGACGACTGCACAGGGTGGCTTACTTTGATAGAGGAAGAAGTATCAAGTGATCTTTGACTCTCAGGGTAGGAAATAGCACCAATTTCATTTAATAAACATATTTACAGTGGCGTATTTTGTTAGATTGACAAGATGGAACTCTCATGCCAGAGATCTTGATAAAAACAATTCCCAACTTTAATCTCAGGTGGCTAATCAATTGTGCATTATCAAGGTAAAAATCATTTCCTTTCCAAAATGATTTTTCTTAGTCTTTTTTCTAAATATTGATTATAGTTATCACTTTTGTATAATAATTACTTCTGTTTACAGAATTGGCTCATGTAAGCTTGGGCCAACATCACTGAGATGCCCCCGACTTGTTGGTTTATGTTCTTTTAGCCAAGGACGAGTAACTCACTTCAAGGTGCACACATTCTCGTCTTCAGTCTTTATCAAGTTGGATACAGAAATTCTGTATCCAATGTATGGATAAGGTTTCTTCAAAGAACAGCAGGTAAAAAAACTTGCTGACTTCAATAAAACCCTGATTGTTATTTTTTTTTCATTATCTGAGATTTTCATTTCAAGTTATAATGCAATTTGCAGTGGCAGTTTGTGATAAAATATGGATAACGAAGACAAAATGAACACGCTCGCGTTTCTTCAATTTTTCTCAAGTTGTGTGAAAAAATGGACATTCATGTTTTAATTGTTTAAGGAAAAAACATTTCACTTTCATCACAGTTAATGATCTCAACCCCACATAATTTTCAATTTGGATTCCCTCAGCTTTACAATAAATCTGAACCAATTTATCCATTTGAAAATTCCTATTTCAACTTCCTCAAGATCACTCATCCGACCATGAAGTCGATAACACAAGATTACATCAGCAGAGAAGGGTGGATCACCATTTGCATCCCCACAGGAAGTCTTGGCTCTCCAGAGAGGGCTCTGATATTCATCATTTACAAGACATACTATGTAAAATATAGCTTTTCAACCAATGCAGCATATCTTATTAACAAGCTCATCAGGGACATGCTGAAATGATGATAAATGGCATAACTGTAGCCATGGATTTTCCAGGGCTCGACATTAGCGCCTGTCCGCCTGTCCGGGACAGGTAAAAATTCAGTTCGGACAGGTGAAGTTGCAGGGTTGGCTGTCCGACGGACAGGTCATGCTTTATGAGAAATTTGGAGCAAAAATCTTTTAAAAATCATTTTTTGTTGCATACTAACGTCTTTTTGCCTCTTCCTAGAGGACATTGAAAAAGAGTGACCTACTTTTGGCACAAAACACATGCAGTCGCAAAACGAAGTCTGAGCAAACTTACCGCCAAATTATGAAAGTGAACACCCTCCAGAACTTCAGCAGACAAAATTTATTCACATATCAGGTTCACTACTGAACATTTATTTAGTTAAAAATTTACGTGGTTTAGTAATAAAGACACTTCCAAAAACAGAAACTACACAAGTACTGTGCTGGAGCCAGATTGGACTGGATGAACTGGCTATATCTAGTTCGTTGTCACGGCAACAAACTGCCTGTCAATCAAACACGTTGTATGCTATCTGCTCACTATAGAAAGTGAAATCTTTGGGACTGAAGATCTTGTTGAAATGTTGTTTATTTGCCAAAATATTACCTGAAATTATGTATGATGTTTTTTTAATGACTCTAGCATCACCTCTGTTATTTACAGTTTAAAATTTAGTGCTGGAATATGATAAATTAACATTGCTCTCATATACCAGTGTGATATTGATGTAAGGAAGAAATTAGTAATAACAAATATGAGAATTTTAATAAAAAGAAGGGGAACTTTTTTATACTGATTTTATTTAGTTCATATATGTTTAAAAAATCAAACATGTGATAACCCCTTAAAAAGTTAAATTGTTAACATAAATATAAGTAAAGTATTATAAAATTTCTTTAATTTTCATTGAAATTTATTCAAATATTATAAATTTTGAATATTTTAATAAAATTAATTTAACAGTACTGTACCCCCTCCCCACTTCCCACTCAGGGTTTTTTTTTAGCTTTGGTTAAACTTCATGTGAATCTGTTATCAAATTGCAGACTTACAATTAGTAGACCCTGTACCCCAAATCCTAGGAGAAGCCCTGATGTGAATTATCAGACTTAAATGCAAGATTAAATCTTCAGGAGTTCACAAGTATGAAAAAACAAATTTTAATCTGAACATA